GCCTGACCCGTGATTCTCTCTCATCATTGATGTTTCTCTCCCTCCCTCTCCCTTCCTCTCTGAAATCAATATATTTAAAAGTGTTTACAAAAAACCTTGGAGAGGGGCTGTGCACAAGGCAGGGGGAGGTCAGGGCTGGTTTTGTGGGTTTGCGAGGTCCGTCCCAGCCCCGTGACCGCCAAGAGCAGGATCCGAAACCCCGTGAGATGTCAGGTGGCCCGGCCGGAGCCCCGGTCCTCGGCCCTGTGCCGTGGGAATAGTGTGAGATCCAGACGCCAGAGCTGCTGCTCGCCCGGCCATGGCCTCGGCCTCCTTGGACTCGCCCCAGCTCCTCCCGCCCCGTCTGTGTGAACGCTGCCCTTGCTCTCCCAGGCAAGGGGCCAGTGTGTGGCCCTGCCAGGCCCGCCCGGCCCAGAGAGGGGCCTTCCCTTTGGCACCGGGGCTGTTTGCCCAGCAGCCCACATCCTGCTGGGGCCCCCTCCCACGAGCTCACCGAGTCCTCGGGGGCGAAGATGGGGCCCTGCGGGCCGCGTGCCAGGAGGAAGTTGGAAGCGGGTCCCTCAGGTCCGCGCGGCGGCAGGTGGGAGCAGCCGCTGATCCGAGCGGCATCGATCGCACACGCCCACGTCGTCCCACAGCTCAGCCGGACCGTTACGCTTCCCCCTGTTGATTTATGGCATCAATAGGAAGGTCATGCCAGGGACACGCCTCCTGGAGGCTGGAACCCGTAAATATCGAGGCTCCGTGTCCCCCGGAGCAGGGCCGGCACCATGGGGCTCCCCAGCGTCACCCTGGTAACGTGTCTGCTGCTGGGCCGCGTCCTCCACGCAGGTACTGTCTCCTCTGCGGCTGCTCAGCTCACGGGCAAACCCCACTCGCGCGGATTCGGGAAGGAAGCGCTTTTCTGGTTGTTTCCGCCTGAGAAAGGCCAGGGTCGTGGTTAGACGAGGCCGGGGGCCGCGGGTCAGAAAGGCTCCTGCAGCGAGGAAGGGGCACCAGGCCTCCGCGTGGCCGTGGGGTGAGCGGGGACAGGGGGCGGGAAGCCGGCCCTGCACGGCCCTCAGGGCGCTCGGCCCGCGGCTCTGGCTCGGTCACTCCTGTCGCCCAGGGCGCCGGCCAGGCAGCGGGCTCAGGCAGGACAGGGAGGGTCCCCGTGTGTGCCTGTCGCCCCTGCCTCAGACGTGGCGGGAAGCGTGTGCTCAGCTCATCTCCCTGTTCTTGGAGGGACAATGAGAACACGTGCCTACAAGGGTCAGGGTGAATCGGAGGGACCGACCCCTCTCGGTGCCTGCCTGTCGTTCCCCCCACCTCTCATCCATTCTCTCTCCCTCCTTCCTTCTCTCTCCCCATCTCACCCTGTTTTTCCCCTCCTCCCACACACACACACACACACACACCTTCTCTGATGTCCCTTTTGCTGATTCATGAATGTCAGAGGACAGGGCAAAACACCCTGATTTCCAGAGACCTTCTGCCCTCGCTCCTGCCCCAGGCCTCCAGGGAAGCTCGGAAGATGAAGTTCCTGGGAAATGGCTTTCATGAAAGCAGCGCCCAGACCACGCTCTCGGGGCCTGGTGGGGAGCAGGCCCGCGGGGATGTGCGTGCACCGCATGGGGCCACCAGCCGGCCATCTGGGGACACCCTCCTTTCCTTCTTTTTTAAATAGAATATTTTTATTTATTTCAGGGAGGGAGGGAGAGAGAGAAACATCAATAAAGAGAGAGAATCATGGATTGGCTTCCTTCTGCATGCCCCTCTCTGGGGATGGGGCCCGCCCCCCGGGCATGTGCCCCGATCAGGAATTGAACCCTGGACCCTTCAGCCCACAGGCCAGAGCTCTACCCATGGAGCCACACCAGCCAGGGCCAACCACCTTCTAAAGTGAAAGAACGGGAGGCTGAGTCAGTTTGTTGACTTCTGCAAAGTCACACAGGAAGGCAAACCCTGATGAGAACGCGGCTCAAGTCCCGTTCCCCTCAGAGGAGACCTGACTCCGTTTCTGCTTCCTCCCCTCCAGCTGCTGTCGCGGAAGCTGCTGCCACCACCGTCCTCAGGATTCCTCCCGAGACAGGTAAGGCGGAATGTTCCCTGGAGCCTGCCCTGCGGGCACGACACTGAGTGTGCCCTGGGGCTGCCTCTTCCTCGGAGAACTCAGGGCGGGGGTGAGGGGTGTGGAAGCATGTGGTGCCCGGGGAGGCCTCTGGGGACACAGGGCCGAGGCTGGGACGGGAGGTCCTACACTGTCCTCGTCCCAGGGGTTGGGAAGAGCCGGTCAAGGCCGTTCAGCCGCTCACCCACCGCTCCCAGTCTCGCCTCATCCATGTTCGAGGGCAGGTATCGCTGTCCCTTTTCTTTTCTCATTTTAAAAAATATATTTTTATTGATTTCAGAGAGGAAGGGAGAGGGAGAGAGAGACATTGGTGACGTGAGAGAATCATGGATCGGCTGCCTCCTGCACGTCCCACACTGGGGATCGAGCCCCCAACCCGGGTCTGTGCCCTTGACCGGAATCAAACCTGGGACCCTGCAGTCCGCAGGCCAGTGCTCTATCTACTGAGCCAAACTGGCCAGGGCTGGGGGTGCATGTTGAGAAATGGCCCCTCCTCCTGTGGGGGGGGCTACCCTCTCAGGAATATTGGGGGGTAGACACGTGCCATCTGAGGGTATCTGAGCCGCAGGGCTGGACATTTGGTACTCAAGTCCCGTGTTGTGAATGAGGGCGGGAGTCAGCGGGTTCTGTGGTGGATTCTGTGGAAGGAAGCGCAGGAGGGGAGGGTGGTGACGGGCCAAGGGCCCCTGTGGCATCCGGGCATCGATCCAGGGCCCACAGAGGGCAGAGGGTGAGTTCCGCCTCACAAGGAAGGGGCGTAGCCTCGCTGCCGGGGTGGCATAGGATCTTCCGCCTGCACCTGCCTCAGAGCCTGGGAGGGAGGGCCACCGTCCAGGAGGCCCCAACACTGACCTGTTCCCTCTGCTCTGCAGCTTCTCTGCTTTCCACGGAGGAGTCCCTGACAGCAGCCACGGAAGGTACGCTTGTCACGTGGGATCCCTGTGGGCCCCCCAACCGCACCGTGACCGGGGAGAGGTGCAGGAGTGAGAGATGGGGTGCTCAGCTCCCAGGGCCTCTGAGTAAGGCCTTGGGCTGCAGGGTGTCCCCTTCCCGGAGCTCCAAGGTGGGGCTCGGTGACCCACCCTCAGGGGGTCCTGCCGCCCAGGCCCAGGGCCCACCCCCATGGCCCCCCCAAGCCACGCTGGTCCCTGGCCAGGCTCAGGCACTGGGATTCGGGCTGCGGGGCCCAGCGAGGCAGGTGCACACCTCTGAGCAGCATCCTGGCCTGTGCCCTCCCTGAGCCCCCATCAGGGCACCTCGGACCATCTCGGCACAGAAGGACCTAGGTCCTCCCGCCCGTGGGGCAGAGTCCCGTGCCCCCCCCACCCCCCCGCCGGGATTCTGCCTCCAGCGACAGAGCTGGGGTGCAGGCCACACAGACCGGGTGCCGGCAGCCTGGGCTTTGGGAAGGAAAGTCACCGCCCTTTCTCCCTGGGAAACACTGGCCCCGAGACAGGAGAAGGACGGCCTCCAGGCTAAGGCCCCGGCCAGGACCCAGCAGGGACCAGGGGACCCGGGCATTTCTCTTTCTCGGGTCCCGGGTTCCCGTCCCCGAGGCCCACGGTGTCAGGCCCGGCTGGACCTTCCCTGTCCTGTCCCGCTGGTTAGGGACAGAGATGTCGCTGGAGCCGAGGTGGAGCCTGGCTTCATCCTCTGTGAACGTGTCCCCTCCCCGGACCCTCAGTGCAGCGGCGGGAGGAGGAGGACCCCTGGCCCTCGGAGCGGTTCCCCCAGACCCTGCCCCATGTTAGGAACGTCGTGGGCCTGACGAAGCCCGAGGCGCCAGCGTCCGGCCAGGCCGGCGAGGGAGGGCTCAGGTGCGGGGCCCTCTGCCTCTGACCGGCCTGCAGACAGGACTTCCCCAGACCTGCCGGGCCCTCCCGAGGGGAGAGGGGGTGGGGGTCGCACCTCTAGATCGAAAGGGCCCCCGTGCTGACGCCCAGGAGAGGCTCAGAGGACACGGGGCTCCGGTGCAGTGGTTTGAGCAGCTGCCAGGCCATCCTCTCTCCACGCCCAGCACCAGGCCGGCTCTTGCTGGGGCCGTGGGCAAGCCCAGGGCTCCTTGAGGCAACTCAACAGCCACAGCCTCCAGCCAGCCATGCACTGACCAGGGAAACACTAGCAGCGTTTCCAGGGAAGTGAAAGCAAAACCAGTCCGCCCTTCAGCCCCCCTCACACACACACACAAACACACAACCACTATTCCACCCGGTGCTAAGGATGGAGCCAATGCAACGAGATGGGAGGACTCGCTGAGAAGTGCCGCGATGTGAAGTTACTTCTGTATCCATTTCCTGCCGCCGCCGGGGGGCCCGTGTGGAAGGCCCAATGCAAGCTCGGCAGGTTGATGGGAGACACCCCTTCCCCTAAAGAGCCTTGAAATACATTTTTATTGATTTCAGACAGGAAGGGAGTGGGAGGGAGAGAAATATCGATGAGGAGAGGGAATCATGGATCGGCTGCCTCCTACAAGCCCTCCACTGGGGATGGAGCCCCCAACCCGGGCTGGGCCCTTGGCCAGATCCTGGGACCCTTCAGCCCACAGGCCGATGCTCTACCCAAGGAACCACACCAGCCAGGGCCAACCACCTTCTAAAGTGAAAGAACGGGAGGCTGAGTCGGTTTGTTGACTTTTGCGGAGTCACACAGGAAGGCAAACCCCGCTGAGAACGCGGCTCAAGTCCCGTTCCGTCCGCGGTTCCCCTCAGAGGAGACCTGACTCTGTTTCTGCTTCCTCCCCTCCAGCTGCTGTCCTGGAGGCTGCTGCCGCCAACGTCCTCAGGAGTCCCCCCAGGACAGGTAAGGAGGAATGTTCCCTGGAGCCCGCCCTGTGGGCACGATACCGAGTGTGCCCTGGGGCTGCCTCTTCCTCGGGAGAACTCAGGGGGTGCGGTGAGGGGATGCCTGGGTCAGAGCACAGGGAGGCCCCTCTGTGGGCACGACCTTACTGACCCCGCCAGCCCTGCCCCACAGACCTGGGACGCCAGGGGGCACCTGTGCACCAAGCTCCAAGCCACGAGGGAGCCCCACGGATGTGCCGAGCCCCTCCCGGACTCCAGGTGGCACAGGGGACCTCAGCCCGGGGGAGTGACCGGCGCCACGCCCCCGGCATGGCGGCACTGCCCAGGGGCTGCGGAGAGGAGGGTCAGGTGGCCCCACAGCCTCTCCAGGGAGCACCCCGAGGGCATTTCTCCCCGGAAGTCCTAGCAGCTTGGGTGGGAGAGCAGCCACTGCCCTTTCCCCACGACTCCCTCCGAGGACACACGGGAGGAATCCGGCGGGTGGAGGGGCTCTCGGGCTTCGCTTCCTGGGACGCACCCCGAAGGGCCTAAAGCATGAAACGTAAGAGGAACCTGTCGGAGGAGGGCGGGTCGTGCTCCTAGGGAACCACAGCAAGAAGCCCTGAGCAGGGCAGGGTGGCCGCCTACTCACCGCCATGGACGGTCACGGGGCGCGTCCTTCGACCAGCAGGATGGCAGGTGCCTGCTCAGGCCCCGGCTGCTGTCCCGGGAGGAGCTGCTGTCCTCCCAGCGGGGCAAGGGCCTGGCACCTTCCCAGGCTTTGCCTGAGGTTACCCAGGCCCTTGGAGGAGCCAGCGAGCTGCCCAGTGGGAGGACGTGCCCGGGAGCATGCAGCTCCGCCCTGGGGGCCTGTGCGGGGTCAGGGGGACGCTCCGGCTCACCGTCCTTGGCCCAGGTCCTCGACCACGTCCACTGACTTTTCTGACGAAGATGCAGAGTCGGGACCGCCCCACAGTCTTGCCAGCGAGTACCTGGCTCAGGAAGGGACACACCGGGTAGGTGATGCAGATGCACAGGCCGCATTAGAAATGTGGAGGGGGAGGCTCCTCTCCAGTCCGACCATCCAAGCCAATGACCCAGCTGAGCAGGAGGCTTGTGCACACGCAGGAGCAAGTAGCAGGACGCGCATGGGGAGCTGTCATGGTTCCGACAGAAAATTTAGGAAGGTCTCCTTCCGGAGATGCCTCACCAGATGCCTCATTGTTGTCCCTTCCAGACGCAGGGCCAGCTCAGGCCACAGCTGCCTCACTGAGAACAAAATGCAAATCATCCTATCACCCTCCCAGGGCCGCTCTCTGCTTCTGAATCATGTCTGGGATGGAACGTGACAGAAAGAGTCTCCACATGGGCCATCCTCATCCTTGTCCCTTAGGGGGCTGGGGCCAGAGGAGGGTCTCTGACGAGGTCCTTATCTGACATGGTTGGCTGATGACTTGTATCCAGTGGGTTTATGGGAGGAGGCTCAGCCAGGACCCTCCCCATTGCTCAGGGTCAGCCTTGGAGGCCTCCTGGGACCTGCTGAGACCCCTGTGCAGATTCAGCCTCAGGGAGTGTGAGTCTCTGCCTCTCCTGTCTGGCAGACGTGGTCCCATCACCTCCGCTGGCTTTGCCTCAAGTGAGGCAGGACCGAGGAGAAGGAATAAGTGGCCAAGGAGGCCATGGTCTTGGCCTGTCTCCGGAGCTGTGGACCTCCACCCTGGGTGTCCCTGGTGGAAGCGGGGGGAAGTCCTCACCCCATGGGCAATCCTGGGGCTCCCTACCTAGGAGCCTCCTTAGAGCAGGCAGAACAGGATGTCCCGATCCTTTCCCTGTGATGGAGATGAACCCCTGGGCGTGTCCAAAGATGACCGCCTGCCCTTGGGTGTGGCTGTGAGGGAGGCCCTGAGTCTAGAGAACCTGCCTTAGGCCTGGAGCTCAGCACAAACAGTGAGGAGGTGTCCTTGTGCTGTCCTCTAGGGTTAAGGACCAATTCGGGTTTGGCCCTGAGGCTGGTGAACGGCGGTGACCCATGTCAGGGCCGCGTGGAAGTCCTCTACCAAGGCTCCTGGGGCACCGTGTGTGACGACGGGTGGGACATCAACAATGCCAACGTGGTGTGCAGGCAGCTGGGCTGTGGCGAGGCCAGGTCGGCCCCAGGAAGTGCCTGGTTTGGAAAGGGCTCAGGCCCGATCGTGCTGGATGATGTGGGCTGCTCAGGGCACGAGTCCTACCTGTGGAACTGCCCGCACAGGGGCTGGAACTCACACAACTGCAACCACGGAGAGGACGCCGGCGTCATCTGCTCAGGTGGGCCCCTCAAGTCTGTTCTCCCACATGGGTGGTGTTTTCTCAGCGAGTGTGTCCCTCAATCTGATTCCTGTCAAAGTCTTTCTTTATTTCTTATTCCCTTGAAGAGTCCTAGTTCTCTGCCTAGTTCAGTATTAGTCTGTGTCCTGGTGCCGGGTGTAAGCAGGTGAATGAGGACCCAAATGAGTGTAAGGGTCACACCCTCTGCTGACGGACACACGCCAGTTGCACAGGCAGTGTTGTCAGTTGCCTGGGAGGGACCCCGTGGGCAGAGGTGCGGTGACCCTCACACGGCTGCCTGCATTCGGGGCTCAGGAGTCCTTGCCTGTCAGTCTCTCCAGGGAAATTGGATGCAATCTCTGCACCAGGTCTGCTCTGCGAGGGCTGCGGGCCCTCTGAGACCCACCGGGTTATGCCTCCTAGTTGCCTATGGTCAGGCCTGAACCACACACTTAGGTTTGGGCACCTGAGTAGACTCCTCACTCTTGGGCCCTCCCTGCCTCCTAAAAGCTATGTGGTAGAGAGTCTCCTCGTGTCAACTCTGTGCCTCCATCTAGACACAGGTGGAATCACCTGGATGTTGGCACCAATGACCTGGGTCTCCTGGGCCCTGGTGCAGAGTGTCCCTCCTGGGGTAGATGGCAAAGGCCCTGCCTTTCAAGGCAAGGGACCAGCATGGCTGAGCGACCACCTGCTCAGTGTCTCCCAGGATGCTTCTAGCTGTTTCCCCTTCTCTGCCGCGTGTCTGATCCGACGCACTCTCTCTCACAGCTACATGGCCATGACCACCACCATGCCAGCTGAGTCCTGCTGCCTCTGACACTCCCTCCCTGCTAACCCCACACCCCACCAGGCGCTCCTGGAGGGGACTGTGCCAGTTTCTGCCTCCCAGTCCCCTCCCTGATGTGTAGATGGTACAGTTGAGCCCACAACACATTGACCCTCTGGTCTGGCTCAGTGGGATAAGGGCATTCTGGCTACAGCGCTTACCCACTCAGTGACAGGGGAAACTCTGTCCCGTGGACATTGTGCTTCCTGTGCTGAGGCAACAGAGACCCTTCATCCATGGACCCCAGACAGAGCCTAAGGGTTGCTTTTACCAAAGGACACTGCATCAGGAGCTCAGCAGGGTTGCTCTCAGAGATTGTAGCTCTAGTTGCCATTGTCAAGGACATTCAAGGACATGTTTTTGGCTGGTGGCAAGCTCTCAGAAAGGGCAACTTTCTCCCATAGCCACAGAGCTTCTCAGGCCACCCTGTCCCTGACCCCCTCACCCCAGTCACAGCTCAGCAGACCCGATCTTGACCCTCTGCTTTCTTTTCTAAGCTGCTCTGTTTTCTCTCCAGTTGGGTGGTACACATCATTCCACATGTGAGCATCCCTGGGTCTGGCCAAAGCATCAGAATTCATCACTGTAGCCTCCAGGCCAGGATGACATTCTCTCATCTTGTGTTAAAACTCCTCAGACTTCAACCCATCCAACATGGAGAGTTCCCCCTACATCCCAGAATCATGGATTCCCTTCACCTACCAGTTATAGGACATATTAGTCAGGATGTTTTAGTTTGCAAGTGACAGGAGCTAACTCAAACTCTTTGAAGCCAGAAGAGAACTCCATGACTCACACATGAGGGACATCTCCTGGCAGAGCCAGCTTCAGGTGCTCCTGGATCCAGGCATTACAAGACTGTTTCCATGCGTTTTTCTTACTCTGCTTTCTATGTGTATGGGCTTCACTATCGGCTTACTTTCTGCATAGGAGACACTACTAGTGCCAAGGGTGGGGCTCCCCTTTTTCTCCTGCATTGCAAAGCCAACATGGTGGGAAACCAATTGAAGAACATGCCTCCCACAGCTCACACCTATAGGTGCTGTACCCAGCTCCATTAAGATAAAGGGTTTTTGAGGAACCTTGGTCCAGTCTTAATGCAGGGGAAGTTACCCCGAACACTAAGGCTTGGCCCCTGGAAGAATTAGGAACCTCACGCACACATCAGAGCCTCTTTCTTCAGGCTACATTGCACACAGTGACTTTTCCCCTCCCTTTCTAGGAGCCGATGCCGGTTTGGCCCTGAGGCTGGTGAACGGAGGTGACCGGTGTCAGGGCCGCGTGGAGGTCCTGTACCAAGGCTCCTGGGGCACTGTGTGTGATGATGGGTGGGACACCAAAGACGCCAACGTGGTGTGCATGCAGCTGGGCTGTGGCGAGGCCAGGTTGGCTCTTGGAAATGCCTGGTTCGGACAGGGCTCAAAACAGATCGTGCTGGATGACGTGGCCTGTTCTGGGCACGAGTCCTACTTATGGAGCTGCCCGCACAGGGGCTGGAACTCCCACAACTGCAACCACGGAGAGGACGCCAGTGTCATCTGCTCAGGTGCGTCTCCTCAAGTCTGTTCTCCTTTCATTGGTGGTGTTTTCTCAGCAAGTGTGTCCCTGAATCAGTTTCCTGTCAAAGTCTTTCTTTATTTCGTACTCCCTTGAAGAGTCCTAGTTCTCTGCCTAGTTCCGTATTAGTCTGTGTCCAGGTGCCAGGTGTAAGCAGGTGAATGAGGACCTACCCTGAGTGTAAGGATCACATCTTCTACCGACGGGACCGCACATGCCAGCAGCACAGGCAGTGTTGTGAGTTGCCTGGAAGGGCGCCCGTGGGTAGAGGTGCAGTGACCCTCACACGGCTGCCTGCACTCGGGGCTCAGGAGTCCTTGCCTGTCAGTCTCTCCAGGGAAATTGGATGCAATCTCTGCACCAGGTCTGCTCTGCGAGGGCAGCGGGCCCTCTGAGACCCACCGGGTTATGCCTCCTTGTTGCCTATGGTCAGGCCTGAACCACACATGTAGGTTTGGGGCCCTGAGCAGACCCCTCACTCTTGGCCCCTCCATGCCTCCTAAAAGCTGTGTGGTAGACAGTTTCCTCGTGTCAACTCTGTGCCTCCATCTAGACACAGACAGAATCACCTGGACCTCGGCACCAATGCCCCGGGTCTTCCTGGCCCCTGGCGGGGCGCATCCTACAGGTTAAATGGCAGAGGCCCCGCATTCCAAAGCAGGGGACCAGCATGGCTGAGCGTCCACCTGCTCAGTGTCTCCCACGATGCCTCTTGCTGTGCCCCCTTCTGTGCCACATGTCTGATCCGACGCCCTCTCTCTCACAGCTTCGTGGCCATGACCACCGCCATGCCAGCTGAGTCCTGCTGCCTCTGACACTGCCTCCCTGTTAACCCCACACCCCACCAGGTGTTCCTGGAGGGGACTGTGCCAGTTTCTGCCTCCCAGTCCCTCCCTGATGTGTAGATGGTACAGTTGTGCCCATAACACATTGACCCTCTGGTCTGGCTCAGAGCGATAAGGGCATTCTGGCTACAGCGCTTACCCACTCAGTGACAGGGGACACTCTGTCCTGGGACATTCTGCTCCTTGTGCTGAGGCAACAGAGACCCTTCATCCATGGACCCCAGACAGAGCCTAGGAGATGCTTTTACCAAAGGGCACTGCATCAGTAGGTCACCATGGTTGCTCTCACAGATTGTAGCTCTGGTTGCCATTGTCAAAGACATTGAAGGGCATGGTTTTGGCTCACGAAAGCTCTCAGAAAGGGCAACTTTCTCCCCTAGCCACATAGTTTCTCAGGCCACCCTGTCCCTGACCCCCTGACCCCCTGACCCCAGTCACAGCTCTGCAGACCCAACCTTGACCCTCTGCCCACCTTTCTAAGCTGCTCTGTTTTCTCTCCAGGTGGGTACTACACAAGTTCTTCCTTGGTTGAGCTTCCCCTTGGTATGGCTAAAGCGTCAGCATTCATCACTGTAGCCTCCAGGCCATGGTGACGTTCTCAAATCTTGTGTTAGATCTCCTCAGACTTCACTCCATCCAACATGGAGGGTTCCCGCACATCCCAGAATCATGAATTCCCTTCACCTTCCAGTTATGGGACATATTAATCAGGATGTTTTAGTTTTCAAGTGACAGGAGCTCAACTCAAACTCTTTGAAGCCGTAAGAGCACTCCATGACTCACACAAGATGGACATCTAATGGCAGGTCCAGCTTCAGGTGCAGCTGGATTCAGGTGTTCCAAGACTGTTTCTGTGTGCTTTGCTTACTCCTATGTTCTGTGTGTATGGGCTTCACTATCAGCTAGCTTTCTGCACATGGGTCACTGCTAGTGCCGACGGCAGGCCTCCTGTCTTTGTCCTGCATTCCAAGGCCAACATGGTGGGAAACCAGTCAGAGAACATGCCTCCCAGAGCTCATATCAATGGGTGCTGTACCTGGTTCTTTGAAGATAAACGGTGATTTACGGGCATCATCCAGTCTTAATTCAGGAGAATGTAATCCCAAAAATAAAAGGCTTGGACCCTGGAAGAATTCGGAAACTCACCCACACATCAGAGCCTGTTTCTTCAGGCAACACTAGAGACAATTAATTTTTTTGTCTCATTCTAGGAGCCAGTTCCGGTTTGGCCCTGAGGCTGGTGAACAGCAGTAACCCATGTCAGGGCCGTGTGGAGGTCCTCTACCAAGGCTCCTGGGGCACCGTGTGTGATGACGGGTGGGACACCAATGATGCCAACGTGGTGTGCAGACAGCTGGGTTGTGGCGGGGCCAGTTCGGCCCCAGGAAGTGCCCAGTTCGGACAAGGCTCAGGGCCGATTGTGCTGGACGATGTGGACTGTTCAGGGCAAGAGTCCTTCCTGTGGAGCTGCCCAAATAGGGGCTGGAACTCCCACAACTGTGGGCACCACGAGGATGCTGGCGTCATCTGCTCAGGTGGGCCCCCCCATGTCTGTTCTCCTTCATGGGTGATGTTTTCTCAGCGAGTGTGTCCCTCAATCTGTTTCCTGTCAGAGTCTTTCTTCATTTCTTGTTCCCTAGAAGAGTCCTAGTTCTCTGCCTAGTTCAGTATTAGTCTGTGTCCAGGTGCCAGGTGTAAGCAGGTGAACGAGGACCTACACTGAGTGTACAGATCACACCTTCTGCCGACGGACACACGCCAGCAGCACAGGCAGTGTTGTGAGTTGCCTGGAAGGGGGCCCATGGGCAGAGGTGCAGTGACCCTCACATGGCTGCCTGCATTTGAGGCTCAAGAGACCTTGCCTGTCAGTCTTTCAGGGAAATTGGATGCAATCTCTGCACCAGGTCTGCTCTGCGAGGGCAGCGGTCCCTCTGAGACCCACTGGGCTATGCCTTGTAGTTCAGGAGCTCATTATGGTTGATCGCACAGATTGTAGCCCTGGTTGTTATTGTCAAAAACATTCAAGGGCATGGTTTTGGCTCCTGGAAAGCTCTCAGAAAAGGCCTTTTTCTTCCCTACCCACAGAGCATCCCAGCCCCCTGGCCCTCATCCCCTGACCCAGTGACCACTCAGCAGACCCGAACTTGACCCTCCACTCTCCTTTTCTAAGCTGCTCTGTTTTCTGACCAGATGGGTGGTACACAAGTCCTTCCTACAGTGAGCATCCGTGGGTCTGGCCAAAGTTTCCGCATTCAGCACTGGAGGCTCCAGCCGGGGTGATGTTCCAGAATCTGTGTTACACAACCTCGGGCATCACCCATTTCAATATGGAGGGTTCCCGCACATCCCAGAATCATGGATTCCCTTCACCTACCAGTTGTGGGACATATTCGTCAGCATGTTTCAGTTTGCAAGTGACAGGAGCCCAACTCAAACTCTTTGAAGCCAGAAGAGCACTCCATGGCTCACACCCAAGGGACGTCTAGTGGCAGGGCCAGCTTCAGGTGCAGCTGGATCCCGGCGTTCCAAGGCTGTCTCCGTGCCCTTTGCTTACTCCTGCTTTCTATGTGTATGGGTTTCACGATCAGCTTGCTTTCTGCACATGGGTCATTGCTAGTGCAGACAGCAGCCAATCACTTTGTCCTGCATCCCAAGGCCAACATGGTAGGAAACCAATTGCAGAACATGCCTCCCACAGGTAAAACCCATGGGTGCTGTACCTGGCTCCTTGAAGATAAAGGGTGATGGACTGGCTTCGGTTCAATCTTAATTCGGGGAATATAATCCCGAAAATAAAAGGCTTTGACTCTGGAAGAATTAGGAACCACACTCACACCTCAGAGCCTCTTTCTTCAGGCTACACCAGAGACAGTGAATTTTTCCCTCAACTTCTAGGAGCCGATGCCGGTTTGTCCCTGAGGCTGGTGAATGGCGGTGACCGGTGTCAGGGCCGCGTGGAGGTCCTCTACCAAAACTCCTGGGGCACCGTGTGTGACGACGGGTGGGACATCAATGACGCCAACGTGGTGTGCAGGTGGCTGGGATGTGGCCGGGCTAAGTCGGCCCCTGGAAGTGCCCAGTTTGGACAGGGCTCAGGGCCAATTGTGCTGGACGATGTGGGCTGCTCAGGGCAAGAGTCCTTCTTGTGGAGCTGCCCAAATAGGGGCTGGAACTCCCACAACTGCAACCACGGAGAGGACGCCGGCGTCATCTGCACAGGTGGGCCCCCCTCCCGGAAGTCTATTCTCCTTCATGGGTGGTGTTTTCTCAGCGAGTGTGTCCCTAAGTCTGTTTCCTCTCAAAGTCTTTCTTTATTTCTTGTTCCCTTGAAGAGTCCTAGTTCTCTGCCTAGTTCAGAATTAGTCTGTGTCCAGGTGCCAGGTGTAAGCAGGTGAACGAGGACCTACACTGAGTGTAAGGATCACACCTTCTGCCTACAGGACCACACACGGCAGCCGCACAGGCAATGTTGTGAGTGTGCCTGAAGGGGAACCGTGGGTAGAGGTGCGGTTACCCTTACACGGCTGGCCTGAATTCGGGGCTCAGGAGTCCTTGCCTGTCAGTCTCTCCAGGGAAATTGGATGCAATCTCTGCACCAGGTCTGCTCTGCGAGGGCAGCTGGCCCTCTGAGACCCACCGGGCTATGCCTCCTAGTTGCCTATGGTCAGGCCTGAACCACACATGTAGGTTTGGGGCCCTGAGCAGACGCCTCACTCTTGGCCCCTCCATGCCTCCTAAAAGCTGCGTGGTAGACAGCTTCCTGGTGTCAACTCTGTGCCTCCATCTAGACACAGATGGAATCACCTGGACATTGGCACCAATGCCCCGGGTCTTCCTGGGCCCTGGCGGGGCGCGTCCTCCTGGGTTAGATGGCAGAGGCCCCGCATTCCAAGGCACGGGACCAGCATGGCTTAGCAACCACCAGCTCAGTGTCTCCCACGATGCCTCTTGCTGTGTCCCCTTCTGTGCCACGTGTCTGATACGACGCCCTCTCTCTCACAGCTGCCTGGCCATGTCCACCACCATGCCAGCTGAGTTCTGCTGCCTCTGAAGCTCTCTCTCTCTGCTCACCCCACAGCCCCCCAGGAGCTCCCAGAGGGGACTGTGCCAGTTTCTGCCCCCCAGTCCCTCCCTGATGTGTAGATGGTACAGTTGAGAACACAACACATTGACCCTCTGGTCTGGCTCAGAGCGATAAGGGCATTCTGGCTACAGCGCTTACCCACTCAGTGACAGGGGACACTCTGTCCAGAGGACATTGTGCTCCCTGTGCTGAGGCAACAGAGACCCTTCCTCCATGGACCCCAGACAGAGCCTGAGGGTTGCTTTTACCAAAGGACACTGCGTCAGTAGGTCACCATGGTTGCTCTCACAGATTGTAGCCCTGGTTGCCATTGTCAAGGACATTCCAGGGCACAGGTTTGGTTCATGGAAGCTCTCAGAAAAGGTCTCTTTCTCCCATAGCCACAGAGCTTCTCACCTCACCCTGTCCCTGACCCCGACCCACTGATCCCAGTCACAGCTCAGCAGACCCGACCTTGCCCCTCTGCCCTACATTCTAAGCTGCTCTGTTTTCTCTCCAGGTGGGTGGTACACAAGTCCTTCTTCGGTTGAGCATCCCTGGGTCTAGCCAAAGCATCAGCATTCAGCACTGTAGCCTCCAGGCCAGGGTGACCTTTTCTAATCTTGTGTTATATCTCCTCAGACTTCACCCCATCCAACATGGAGGGTTCCCCCACCTCCCTGAATCATGAATTCCTTTCACCTACCACTTATGGGACATATTAATCAGGATGTTTTAATTTGAAAGTGACAGGAGCCCAACTCAAACTCTGAAGCCAGAAGAGCACTCCATGGATCACACTAGAGGGATGTCTAGTGGCAGGGCCAGCTTCAGGGGCAGTTGGATCCAGGCGTTCCAAGACTGTCTCCGTGCCCTTTGCTTACTCCTGCTTTCTATGTGTGTGGGCTTCACTATCGGCTTGCTTTCTGCACATGGGTCACTGCTAGTGCAGATGGCGGGCCTCCCCTCTTCGTCCTGCATCCCAAATCCACATGGTGGGAAACCAGTCAGAGAACGTGCCTCCCACAGATCACACCCATGCGTGCTGTATCTGGTTCCTTGAAGATAAATGGTGATGGATGGGCATTTGTCCAGTCTTAATTCGGGGGAATGTAATCCTGAAAATAAAAGGCTTGGACCCTGGAAGAATTCGGAACCTCACCCACACCTCAGAGCCTGTTTCTTCAGGTGACACAAGAGACAATTAATGTTTTTGTCCCCTTCTAGGAGCCAATTCCACTTTGGCCCTGAGGCTGGTGAACGGCAGTAACCCATGTGAGGGCCGCGTGGAAGTCCACTACCAAGGCTCCTGGGGCACCGTGTGTGATGACGGGTGGGACACGAATGACGCCAATGTCGTGTGCAGGCAGCTGGGTTGTGGCGGGGCCAGTTCGGCCCCAGGAAGTGCCCAGTTTGGACAGGGCTCAGGGCCAATTGTGTTGGACGAAGTGGAATGCTCAGGGCAAGAGTCCTTCCTGTGGAGCTGCCCAAATAGGGGCTGGAACTCCCACAACTGCAACCACGGAGAGGACGCCGGCGTCATCTGCTCAGGTGGGCCCCCCCAAGTCTGTTCTCCCACATGGGTGGTGTTTTCTCAGCGAGTGTGTCCCTCAATCTGATTCCTGTCAAAGTCTTTCTTTATTTCTTGTTCCCTTGAAGAGTCCTAGTTCCCTTCCTAGTTCAGTATTAGTCTGTGTCCTGGTGCTGGGTGTAAGAAGGTGAATGAGGACCCAAATGAGTGTAAGGGTCACACCCTCTGCCGACGGACACACGCCAGCGGCACAGGCAGTGTTGTGAGTTGCCTGGGAGGGGGGCCCGTGGGTAGAGGTGCAGTGACCCTCACACGGCTGCCTGCATTTGGGGCTCAGGAGTCCTTGCCTGTCAGACTCTCCAGGGAAATTGGATGCAATCTCTGCACCAGGCCTGCTCTGCGAGGGCAGCGGGCCCTCTGAGACCCACTGGGCTATGCCTTGTAGTTGCCTATGGTCAGGCCTGAACAACACATGTAGGTTTGGGGCCCTGAGCAGACTCCTCACTCTTGGGCCCTCCCTGCCTCCTAAAAGCTGTGTGGTAGAGAGTCTCCTCGTGTCAACCCTGTGCCTCCGTCTACACAGGAAGAATCACCTGGACATTGGCACCAATGCCCCAGGTCTTCCTGGGCCCTGGCGGGGAGTGTCCCTCCTGGGTTAGATGGCAAAGGCCCGGCCTTCCAAGGCAGGGCACCAGCATGGCTGAGCATCTACCTGCTCAGTGTCTCCCACAATTCCTCTTGCTGTGCCCCCTTCTGTGCCATGTGTTTGGTCTGACACCCTCTCTCTCACAGCTGCCTGGCCCTGTCCACCACCATGCCAGCGGAGTCCCACTAGCTCTGACGCTCCCTCCCTGCTCACCCCACAGCCCACCAGGAGCTCCCAGAGGTGACTGTGCCAGTTTCTGCCCCCCAGCCCCCTCCCTGATGTGTAGATGGTACAGTTGAGAACACAACACATTGACCCTCTGGTCTGGCTCAGAGCGATAAGGGCATTCTGGCTACAGCGCTTACCCACTCGCAGTGAGAGGGGACACACTGTCCAGAGGACATTCTGCTCCCTGTGCTGAGGCAACAGAGACCCTTCCTCCATGGACCCCAGACAGAGCCTGAGGGTTGCTTTTACCAAAGGACACTGCGTCAGTAGGTCACCATGGTTGCTCTCACAGATTGTAGCCCTGGTTGCCATTGTCAAGGACATTCAAAGGCATGGTTTTGGCTCATGGCAAGCTCTCAGAAAAGATCTCTTTCTCCCGTAGCCACAGAGCTTCTCAGCCAACCCTGTCCCTAACCCTGACCCCAGTCACAGCTCTGCAGACCCGACCTTGACCCTCTGCCTGCCTTTCTAAGCTGCTCTGTGTTCTCTCCAGGTGGGTGGTACACAAGTCCTTCCTCGGTTGAGCATCCCTGGGTCTGGCCAAAGCGTCAGCATTCAGCACTGTAGCCTCCAGGCCATGGTGACTTTCTCAAATCTTGTGTTAGATCTCCTCAGACTTCACCCCATCCAACATGAAGGGCTCCCCCACATCTCAGAATCATGGATTCCCTTCACCTACCAGTCATGGGACAAATTAGTCAAGATGTTTTACTTTTCAAGTGACAGGAGCTCAACTCAAAATCTTTGAAGCCAGAAGAGCACTCCATGGCTCATTCATGAGGGACATCTAGTAGCAGGGCCAGCTTCAGGGGCAGCTGGATCCAGGTGTTCCAAGACTTTCTCCGTGCACTTTTCTTACCCCTTGTTCTGTGTATATGGGCTTCACTATCAGCTTGCCTTCTGCACACGGGTCACTGCTAGTGACAAGGGTGGGGCTCCCCACTTTGTCCTGCATTGAAAGGCCAACGTGGTGGGAAACCAATTGGAGAACATGCACCCATGTTCTGTAACTGGCTCCTTGAAGATAAAGGGTGAATGACGGCCTACAGTCCAATCCTAATGAGGGGGATCGTAACCCTGAACAATAAAGGGTTGGCCCCTGGAAGAATTCGGAACCTCACCCACACCTCAGAGCCTCTTTCTTGAGGCGACATGGGAGACAGTGAATTTTTCTATCCCCTTCTAGGAACCAATGCTGGTTTGGACCTGAGGCTGGTGAATGGCAGTGACCGGTGTCAGGGCCGCGTGGAGGTCCGCTACAAAGGATCCTGGGGCACCGTGTGTGACGACGGGTGGGACACCAACGACGCCAACGTGGTGTGCAGGCAGCTGGGCTGTGGCTGGGCCAGGTCGGCCCCAGGAAGTGCCCGGTTCGGACAGGGCTCAGGCCCGATCGTGCTGGACGACGTGGGCTGCTCAGGGCATGAGTCCTACCTGTGGAGCTGCCCGCACAGGGGATGGAACTCACACAACTGTGGGCACGGGGAGGACGCTGGAGTCATCTGCTCAGGTGCGTCGCTACCGTCCCTGGTGGCTCTTCTGGGCTGATGCCGCTGAGAACAAGGCCACTCCCCACGCCAGGGCCCCCCTGAGCCTCGTACTGTCCCCCAGGCACTGGAGTGACTCAGGGCAGCAGGTTCCCAGGTGCTAGGTCTCCTGCTCAGACTAGAGGTCAGCCTGGTGGGTCCACACACCCAGCATCCTGAAGGCAGTGCCAGGAACTGGCTCGAAGGGGTTGAGCTCCGTGTTCATGCACAAAAGGCAGCATCCTGAGCACAGAGAGGAGCCTGGCCTTGTGCCCCCGGAGCCAGCTCACTGCCACCTGCAGGGTGTCTGGGCTTCCTTCCAGGTCCGCTGGTCCCTGGGTGTGGGGGTTGGTGAGCTCCTCCCCTCTGTGAGGACGGTGTCCCCTGGGGGCTCCCAGATAGTGAGGCAGAGGGGACACCCTGAGAGCACAGAGGTCCTTTGTGAAGGACAGAGAGAGTGGGAGAGAGCAGGGGAGGTGGGAGATGGCAGGTGGCCAATGAATGGAAGGAGCCAATGGGAGCCTTCGGGATGGGGCATTAAGACCGCATGGAAAAGTCTAGAAATCTGTGTAGACTCTCAATATCAGAATGGGTCAAGGCTGAAACATCAGTGTGCACATTGATTGACCCCATTTGTTGGGGTCATTTCCCGTTCATTCTGTGGGGTCAACACCTAGGCCGTGGTGGCCTGTCTCAGGCATGACACTGGCTTCCATACCCTGGACAGGAAGTACTAGGGTTCCGGGAGGCAGGCCATGGCAAAGGGACAGAGGGAGTGGCTTTGGAAGGACTGCGGGCTTCAGGTCAGCACCTCTGCGTCCACCGCGAGGCCATGTGCACGGCATCAGCTCCGAGTGTAGAAGCTGAGGGTCATCAATCCGGGATCTGGGCCGGGCACCTGGGAGCTTGTTGTCTGACTGTCCTTTTCTTCCCACAGCTGCTCAGCCCTGAACAACCTGGCCAGGTGAGTCCCGCCACCTCTCCTGGGATGTCCCTCTCTCCTGCCCACCTCTACTGGTCAGCATTCTCCAGCTGACCCATGGCTCTTTGAACCCCATCTGGATCACACTTTTGCCCTCTGTCTCCTTAACCCTTGTTGGTGGGCGGAATCCAAGACTCCGTCTGTCCATCCTCCTTGTGAGTTCTCATCAGATACTTGGCGTCCGTCACGGGGGAGAGCGGCCGATGGTCCGAGAAGTGCCTCCCCTTCCATGAAGGTGGCCCCGTGGCTCCAGGCTGAGGAGGCCTTTGTGGGATAGTGGACACTGATGCCCACTGGCTTTCTGATGATGGGACAGCAGGCTTCCGGGTTCTCTCCTGTGACACTTGCCGCACCATGAGGGCCAGCATGGTCATACCCCCATCCCAGGGTGGCAGAGACAGTTCCCGGGGATGGCAGTGAACATGTGATGAGGGTCCTTTGGGGCCTCCCTTGACCCCTTTCTGACCCGGTGGGGCTACACTCATTATCCAGGGGACTCGGGTGGTCGCGGACGTGTCTGTGGGGCTCAGGCTGCACCATCTGGTGGGCATGGACTGCGTGTCGGACTGCGGTAGGTGGTGCAGAGTGCAAGAAGCCCTTTGGCTGCCTTCTTCCCAATTTCCTGGTCAACAAGGGACGGGTGTCGTGTTTGGCCTAAGTGGCGGGGGCAAGCAGGAGCCTGCATTCTGCCAAGGGCCATTGCAATATTTTTAAAATATACATTTTTATTGATTTCAATAGGAAGGGAGAGGGAGAGAGGGAGAAACATCAATGATGAGAGCGAATCATTCACTGGCTGCCTCCTGCACGCCCCCCACTGGGGCTTGAGCCTGCAACCTGGGCATGTGCCCTTGACCGGAATCGAACCCGGGACCCTTCAGTCCAAAGGCTGATGCTCTATCCACTGAGCCAACCTAGGGCCCATTTGGGTCTTGATGGCGTCATCCGAGGGCCGTAAACATTGATGTACTGAAGATGAGCGGCTGCATCTGGACAAACCTCTCGTGAACTCACCCTGAGGCCCCGGCAGGGCCAGAGCCAGTGATTCTCGGGCCTCAGGCGGCCTGCAGGCGGCACGTCCCCCAGCCCCGCCTAGAGGGTCCGGACCTGGGACCCAGACACACCTGACCTCTCACCTCTGGTTCTCACCCCCCGAGCCTCACTCCTCGTCTGTCAGACACAACTGCTCGCCCCCCACCCACCTGTCAGGACTGTGAAGGGGTTGTGGTGGCTTTTATTACTATCATTGTCGTCACCGATATTAACACATCAATGACCACATGGTCACTCCTGCCCGCCTTAACCCCCCGCAGTCCCGGGGCAAGAAGTGGGGTCCAGGCGGGGCCGCGAGGGCGGGTGTGGGGAGCGTAACTGTCAGCGGCCTGTGTCCCCTCGGGCACAGGTCACACACCGCTGGCCGCTCTCTGTCCTCGTGTCCGTGCTCAGGCTGTCCCCAGGCACGGCCCATTCTAGGCTCTGTCCTTCCTCATCCATTCACTCCACGCCCACGTCCTGGAGGCCTCCCGGGCGCCAGGAGTCAGAGAACTAAACGCAGATCAAGCCCGGTCGGCAGGGCTCAGGGGTTGAGTGCGGGCCTGTGAACCAGGAGGTCAGGGTTCGATTCCCGGTCAGGGCACAGGCCTGGGTTGCAGGCTCGGTCCGCAGTGGGGGGCAACCAGGAGGCAGCCAATCCATGATTCTGTCTCATCATTGATGTTTCTATCTCCCTCTCCCTTCCTCTCTGAAATCAATAAAATATATTTTTTTAAAAATAATGAAAAGAAGAAGGAAGACAGATTGAAGCCCCCCCTCCCCTCTGAAAGCTTACCTGCGGCCAGTGAGCACAGGGCAGGGGGAGGGTGTCTGAGCCCGACAGGGACCCTGCTTGCTCCTCTCCTCCTCCCTCTTCCCTCGGGTGCCATAGTCGCTGGGCCCCGTTTCCCCTGGCCTGGGACCATGTACCCATTTCCCCACTGGGCTGAAATGTTCCTGCTCCCCCACCCTATCCACTGGGAGCCTCCAGCCACATTGAACCCCAAAACCCTCCCCTGGCTCCTGGGCCCACAGGACACAGCGACGCTCCTGCCCGCCCTCGGCCGCCCTTCCCACTGGCCTCAGTTTCCCCCTCGGCACTCCCCGCCCTCACTCCTCTTCCTCCCACCAGACAAGCAGCTCTGAGGGCATCGCCTGCCCTGCGACCACCGCCCCACCTGTGTCCTCCTGTCCGCCGGCTCATCCTGACCGACCTCCTGTCCATCCCCATCCGCGGCCACAGCCGGAGCCACCGCAGCGCTGCCACCTCGCGGGGACACACGGGAGCACCGCCTCCCCCGGCCTCGGCTGCTGCAGTGTGACCTCGGAATGCATGGGGGGGCTCCCACCCCAGGGCCTGGACCCGAGGGGACAGGAAGCAACGGGTGCCCGCGCCTCGTGCCCGCAGTCTCCGCCCGCTCTGCCGGGCACCGGGCGGGGCTGGGCTGGAGGTGGGAAGTCAGGGGCCCCTTTTCCTAACACCGGGCTGGGCACCAGACTGAGGGGCAGGCAGGCGGGTGTCCGGGACCCTCGGGCAGCCCTGAGCCACACCTCCCGCCGTGAGCCTTCCCCAGGCGACGCCTTCCTGGCCTTCTAGAACCCGCTGCTCAGGCTGCAGCTGCCCTGCCAGGTCGTGGACAAGCTGAATAAAGGGCATTTTCACAGCAAGTGTTGGTCTGGTCACTGTGGGGACTCCCCTGAGCCCAGGATCCCTGCAGATGGAGCCAAGGAGGGGGAGGGGAAGGGGGAGGTGGAGTGCTTCCCGGGCTTCCAGAACCTTCTGAGTGATGGAGACAGTGTGCTGGTGGGTGCCGGTTCTTCCCGAAGCAGGAAATGGGGAGAGAAAGGCCAGCGTGCGGGCGCCACCATCATTCCTGGAGTCGGGACCAGCACGGAACAGACTGGCACCTCGATGTGTGTGGGGAGGGGGGAGAAGAAGAGATAAACCAAAGAACTCATAGGCCTATAGGCAGAGCCATGGCATGGCCATCGGGGGAGGGGGCTGGGGAGAGGGGGAGGGGACCTGGGAGCCATCGGTAAGACTATCAACAATAAGAATCTATTTAAAAAGGAGGCAAAAACCCAAAAGACAAAATTTCAAAATAAAAAGCAATCAGAGGCCGAGAGAGGAGAGCAGCGGCCCTGTCACCCACACAGTGTCCACGAGGGGTCTCCCCGCCCCCAGGAGCCGCGCCCCCAGGAGCAGCCATGGGGAGCCTGGGAATTGCTGAGCGGGCCGGCCCCCATGGGGATGGATGCTCCCCTCTGAGCGTAAATGTGCTAACATCACAGCAACAGGGGCGCCTCTGCCTGGCCAGGGCGCTTTCCCCTCTGGGTCTCACATCATCTCCAGACTGGGGCTGAGGGGCTGGGGGGGGGCTGGTGGGGGCTGGGGGGCTCGGGGCTGAGGGCTGGGGGGGTGGAGGGCTCGGGGGCTGAAGGGCTGAGGGGGGACGCCCACTCCTGGGCCCCACGGGCCTGGGGCGAGGGCTCCGCCAGCCTGCAGGTGGCTCCAGGGAGGAACGGACGGACAGGTGGCCCCAGGACCTGGGAGGAAACAAGAAGCCAGCCCAGGGCTGCTGGGTGAGGAGGTCAGGACCCCGGTTTCCCATCCTGCCCTGGGAATGCGCACGCCCCCTCCCCCCCTCCCCAGCCCCTGAGCCCAAGGAGCCCCCAGCAGCAGGCGCCAGCATGAGCCACCGGCTTCCTCTGAAGCTGACTCGGGCGCCCAGCTTCGCCTGTGTCCTCCGCGCCAGGGCAGGTGGGTCTGTGATTTCAGGGGAGAAGGAGCCCCTCTGGGCGGAGGCGGCCTGGCTCCAGGCTCTGAGGGACTGTGGTGACCGGGACCCTGACCCGCCTCCCTGTGTCCACCCCCTTGGCAGCGTGACGCCATTTCTCCCACGAAGACATGACGTCCACGTGGCCGGCGGCTCAGTTGGTTGGAGCGACACCGGATACACCAGGGTTTGT